GCTCTTCACGGGAAGCTCCCACTCGGTCCTTGCTCCTGCCGCTGCCGGCTGCGCCATGGGCTGGGACCGGGCTTCCGCTCTCAGCTCAGGGCACTGGCGCCCGGCCTGCGCTTCCTGCGCTCGGCGGGCAGTTACAAGCTCTGGCTCCCAGGCTGCTCCGACGGTGTGGAGGCGGCCCATTACCCAGCACTGGCGCCCAGTTCTCCAGCTCCTCTGGCACTCTGCTGGTGAGGGTGCCCGCCACCACCTTACCTCCCTCCCCGGGTCTAGAGATGCTCTAGGCACGAACATCCCCACCCCCACATTCTCTTGTCATTCCTTGTCACACAAGTTCTTTTAACCCTGTTGTGCTGGTCTTTTCTCTCAAGGAACATCAGTTTCCAAGGTATTTAAATTTCTAATACCTTTCTCTTCATGCCTCTTATTTTTCAAAGCCTTCTTCTCAAGTTATCACCCCCCCATTAAGCTCTTGCCACCAATATCTTTGCACAACTGAACTCTTCTTTAATGACTTTTCTTTTTTAGGATTCCTCACTGAACATAATGGATCAGGTTTATTTTTAGGACTTGAGAACTAGAGCAATAGCATGTCTTCCTTTCTGGAAAATGCTCTCAACATGTGAGTTTTTCTAAGGAAAGGAGAGAATGCAGGTTGTTTTCTGAACTTCTGTGCACTCCGCACTGCTTGCTCTGAACTGTCAGGAGAGCCCTGCACAGAGAGGGGCAGAAGTTCCCTTGCCCAGATCTGGTGGCAGATTCTGTAAGGCTTTTCAAAGCGGAGAAAAAGGGCCATCATCATACCCAAGTGAAATACTCCCCTCACAAATCCTAAAATCTAAGGATCGCACGAGTGTATCAAATACTGCCCTGTCCCATTTTATTGTACGAACCTTCCACATACCAAGAGATGATTCTGTTTAAACCAAATTTCAAATTTCTCCGATTTTCTTTTTAAACATCATTCACGTTAATCCCATCCCAATGCAGATAACTGAAATAGACAGTGAGTGGGGACGGAATCAACAGGACACTAACCCAGTTATCAACTGCCCCTGCAGACAAGCCAAAATGGGATTGCAGCATTCATCAAATTTACTCGTGATCCTAGACAGAGAGGAATATGCTACTCATGTTGGTGGCCTAATAGAGATCAACTTGACCAATAAGGAAAGCTGCCTGAAAATTCTCCTGGTAAAAACAAATGAAAATCCCATTTAATACATAGTTGATAGAAAAAAACTTTCTTCCAGAAGACCAAGATTTGATTGTCACTTGATTCTGCAGTCCTGTCTTTTACAAACTGTATGGTGAGGCTGTAAACATGCACAGAAATGCTCAGACAAGGCCAGCGACTCACTCCTTAGAATATTTCAGAAAGGGACATAGCCACGTGTCAGCCTCTAAATAACTGGGTCTGCTTTCCTGGAGCTTGGCAATTTGTCACCTGGGTGTGGTTATCACATAACCACAGACTTATTCAGTTACAAATGGCTGCAGGAAAACTCGAGGCCTCACCGACTCTTAAAAATGGGGGAAAAAAGGGAACTACAATATATTGTTCACTTAACTATACTATGATTTCAAGGCACTCATATGGAGCTCACAAACCTCTGAGGCACTTAGTCCTTCTGTATACGCTGTCCAGACTCTTACTATTCAGAGCGATACTTTTTCAAAGCTTTGTTTGTGGCCTCTAAATTGAGAGCATAAAGCAAGAAGATCACAATCAAAATGACCACCATTCCTCTTTATTCGCAAATCCCTTAAATAGAGCAAAATAAAAGCAGTCAGGTGAGGGCCGCATCCTGGAACATGGACGATGGTTTTTCTCTCACTTCTGTGCATATCTTACCTACACACTGGAGTGGCAGCGGGCCCTCACCCTATTAAATATAAGCATTTCCCAACTCACATGGGTTTAAACATGCCCCTTTCCTATGGAGTCAGCTAGGAATTTGAATCCATGACCTTACAGAAAGAAAACGCATTTTATTTAATTAGATTCTCAGGTCATCTCTTCAAAAGTCTATTTAATGCATAACTTACCTCAAACCTAGTAATAATGATAAACAGAACCACTTCAGCTGCAACTGCCACCTTTGTAACAGGGACGCAGTGGGGACCATATGGAAGTCCAGCCTGCTGTGCAGAAACCTCCCATCCAGCACTGATGGAAGGAGGCACTCTCACCCCCTACAGGGTGATGGAAGCTGCAAAACACCAAGGGGGGTTCTCCTGCAGTTGAGTGGTCCTCCCAGCCAGCCACCCACACTGGAGCACCATGAAAACACAGAGACCCATCAGCAAGCGCTCCGCTGGACTGAATTCTGTTAATCACTTTGTCCGATGAACACTTATGAGTGCCCACTCAGTGTAAAGGGCCAGCCGGGCATAAATGAACAAGACATCCTCCTGTTTAGACTCTGGTTAGGTTCAGTGGGGGAGTTAACGAGAAGCATGATGGTGAGCGGTACCTGGGAGCAGCCCGAGGTCATGCCCCAGTCCAGAAGGTGTCACGAGTCTAAGGCCCTCTGAGGACGAGGGACAGTCCTTTGCATGATCTCAGCATAGTGGAGAAAAGACTAACACAAAATATATGAACACCAAGACCCGAGGGCCTATCCACATTCAGAGAAAACATGGACCACTCGGGGTGCATCTGTCTCTACTGCTGCAGAATTCATTCACTCAGCCACAAATAGAAAAAAAAGAAGTGTTGGGTGGGGGGAGGTGTGTTTCTTTCTGAAAGCCTTTGAGAAATCATAAAACGGTCAGAGCCAAAATAACACAGGTATCAGGTGTGGCTAAGTGAGAGGTGCCGACAGGCCACAACTCCTTCCTCTTTAGGATCCCTGGGCTGAGCATGGTTTTTCTCATTTAACAAAGACTCTTCATGTAAGCTATCACTTTGGAGCTTCCCAACCCTTAACAGAGGTGGAACGGAGAGGAACTACATTTTCTGATGGGAAAACAGCAGTTCAGAGAGGTGGCTGAAGATCCCCGGGCCTGGCCAGCAGCAGCTAAAGACAAGAAACTAACCTCTTGATGAATGACCTGATGACACCTTTTCCACTACACCCAGCGGCTTCCCTGATGCAAACCAAAATTTTCAAACACTTTTTCTTCTACCATATGAGGATCTCCAAACAAATGCAGCTCAACCACAGAAAGAACTAGAACAGGGATGGCAAGAAGTAAACTCCCCACTCTTCGAAGTGCATGGACTCTTCCAGACACCACAATACCACACCACAAGACGCTCCATGATCAACACTCCAGACGCCAGGAGTGAACAGGTCTTCAGATAGTGAGCAGGTCAGACTAGGTCATGTCCGTTGCCCACAGAACAGAACAGAAAACCGGCATGCATGTGTTCCATAGGAAGCTCACTAGGAAGCAATGGAAATAATTTGGAAGAAGAAACAATTCTTTCAAACCTGGCACACTGGGCCATCCAGGGCTTTTTCCCATTTGGTTCTTACCTTAAAACTACCTTAACCCCAAGCTAGAAATGGAAATTTTTTGCCTAATTTTCCCTAACCACATGACGTGGCCTTAGAGGTGAACTAACTCATGCCACATAATTAATAAAGCAGAAACAGCAGACACAGCCAATGTCCACCCTGCCTTTTTCTGAAATGTCTTAGAACACATAAAAGACTGACTCTATCCCAACCCAGCAAAAACAGAAATAAAGACAGACACCCTCAAATTCAAAAAAAAGCAGAAATTATACAGGCCACACTCTCTAACTGCCATGCAAGAAAATTAGTACATTCAACAAAAACACCTGCCATTTGGACATCAAGACAATTGCCCCATGTGCCATTAAGAATACATCCATTCACACACAAAAACCGTGCTACTGGAAAAAGAAAAGAATTTGGTGTGTTTAAACTCTATTTACACTAAGCAAAGAAACATTTCAATTACCATTAAAAAAGAGATTAGAGAATATTTATTATAAAAACACAGATGCTCACAGACAGCATACAAGACAGCGATCCCTGGTTACCAATCGCTAAACAGCAAAATGTTCTGGCAGAAACAATTTTCCTCTCTGCAGTCCATCTTTTAAGATGATGAGGATAATCTTCTTAATATCCTGGTACAGAAATCAGCACCATAAGCAGATTCATGGTTGTTTTGCTCAATAGCAGCTATTCAATAAATACTTAGAGAGTGAATGAATAATAATTAAGTATATATATTTTAAGGGATTGGCCAAATCATGACTGTATCTAAACACAATGGAACATTTAAACATATAAACATTTAAAACGATGAGGAAGAAACACACTTATTTACATGGAAAGGTTTCCATTACCTAGTAGTCAATAAGGCAGGCCACTAAATAGTTTCTACAGATGAAATGTATTTTTTCTCTACTCTCTCACCTGTAACGCTTGAAAGTTCATTTACAAGTTTGACAAACACAGCAAAAAACAACTACTTTATAATCATGGGATGCCTCTTCTAAGGCATAAGGAAAGAGAGAAAAACACTTTTTCTACCATCAGTTACTTTGCTTTTGCTTCAAAGTTGTATAGAATTTTGTCAGGCTCACTGGAGAGACCACTCACACCGGCACCATCCGGCCACGTCTCCAGGCTACCTCTGTCGAGCCTGGTGGCAGTTCTAGACCTGTCCTATTATCTCAGCAAGCCATCTGCTTGATATTCAAATTAGCACTAAAACAGCGAGGAGACAGCGTCCTGTTCTAGTCAGCATCTGTAACTCACGTGTCTGTTAAGTAATGACATTTCTCAGTTACATTATCTAGGTTTAGAAGACATGGAACTAGCTTGCCATAAAGAAATGAAACGCGACAAGAACTCAGCACTTAACAAGTATCTACATTTATCTTACTTTCAAAGCGCTGCAAATAAATCTGGCCTTACATCACAAAGTAATAACCCCTAAACTGCTCATCTGCCGGGCAACGGAAGTGAACACGTGAAGACTTCGGCCTGGATGAGTAAATCCAACATCCGATTTACCTGTGATGACACCGGCTTGGTTCTGAGCTTCTTGCCACAGCTACTTCTGCGCGTTGGCAGGGCCCGTCCCTGCGGCCTGGGCTGTGGGAAGGTGAAGGAGGAAATGATCGCGGTATGTCCTCTGGATCCTCCCCAGCTCTCCACCACCGCGGACGAGGAAAGTCACCGTGACCCCGCCTCTTCACCTGCAGGGGGCTGGCACGGTGGTTCCCGGGAGACCCTGCTCCCTCACCCACTCCCCGCGCACCCCTTCCCAAGCAGCCCTGGGAAAGGAGGGGGCTCCCTGCCCTTGAGGAGAGGTGGCAGTGGTCGGGGTGGGCGTGCAGCCCGCAAGGTCCCAGGGCGCCCGGCGAAACCAGGGCATGCAACCACGGACTTTTCTTCGAAGGGAACCTTGACATTTGGGGCACACCGTCCCTCCTTCAAACTGAAAGAGGCGAGAAAAGCACGGGCGCACAGCTGCCCTCTGGTAGTCGGGGGCGGCCGTGAGCCACGGACTTCCGCCGGCGCCACACTGCGCCCCTCGGGGCGCGCGGCCTCGGGGAGACCTGGGCGCGCACGCGGGAGGCACGTCGCGCGGCGGAGCCTGTCCTGGGCTCGCCGGGCCCTGCGGGTCGCCCGCCTTGGCCAAGTGGGGCCGCTCCTCAAGGGTGCTCTGCGGCCGGCGAGCCACGCCGCGCGGGTCACTCCCGTCGGACCGCAGCCGCCGGGCGCTGAGCCCCGAGGGTCGCTCTGTCGGGGGACTCCGGAAACGCCCCCCAGGTAGTGACGCCCAAACCCCGCAGTGCCGAGCGAAGGGCGCGGCGCACCCGATGCCCCCCGCCTGGTGGGCCTGCCCTTCGGGCCACAACCTGGGACCGCAGTCGCTGAGGTCCCGGGCCTCGACCTCTGCGCGGCCTCCAGCGCACCGACAGCCGCAGACGCCGGGCCGCGGAGGGAGGCCGAGCAGCGGGCGGCCTCTGCGCCCGGGGATCCCCCGCACGAGCCCGCGGCGAGCGCCCTCGGCCCGCGCCCCCCGAGGCCCGCGCATGCGCCGCCCGCGCCGGCCCCTCCCCCGCCTCGCCGGGTCCCGAGTGGGGAGGCCCGGCCCGCGGACCCCCGCGCCCGTCTGCCCGCCCGCCCCAGGCACCTGGGCCGCGGTCCGCCGCCTGCCGGTCCGCCGGGCGAGCGCACCCAGCGAGGCGGCGCCGGGCAGGGCGCTAGCTGCCGCCTCCGCCCCCGCCGCCCTCTCCCCGCGCCGTGGGGCCGCCGCGTCCCCTGCCCATGCCCGGCACCGCCTCTCCGCGCCCGTGCCAGCCGCGCCCCCCGCGGCACGCGCCGCCCCTCGGCCCCAGCCCAGGCCTGCAGCGCGGGCAGCTCGCGCGGGTGGCCGGCCCGGAAGCCCCGCCCCGCCCCTGGCCTCCCGCCCCTGGCCTCCGGCCCCGGCCCCCGGGCCTCGGCTCCGCCCCGGGCCACCCGCCGCAGCCCCCGGCGGGACACACCCCCGGGCGGCGGCGCCCGATTGGCTGCCCTCGGGGCGGGGGCTGGGCCGCCCTCACTGGCTCCCACCTTGTGCCCGGCGGGGCCGCACCAGTGGGGAAACTGAGACCGGGGAAGGAGAGACTGCCGGGGTCACCCAGCAGGCCGGTACGCGGTACGCGACGGGGCGTCGGAGCGCGTCTAGCCCCGCGCACCGGGAGGAGCTGATGTCGAGGAGGGGCGGGCGCGAGGCTGGCCACGCTGGCGAGGCCCCTCCTCCCTCCGGGAGCCCAGCCCCGCTGATGAGCGCCACTAACCAGTCTAGACCCCGGGCCGAGGTGCGGGTGCCCTGGAGTTTCGGAGAGGGGGTGCGGGGTGGGGGTGCGCGAGGAAGGACTTGTCCCGGGGACCCTAAGATGCAAAGGGGGTGCAAGGGAACGCCAGCAGGGAGGACGTGTGAACAGGTGGCGGAGATGCCGGGGTGGGTAAGGCAGGCGGGGACCGAGAATGGTGAAGGGCAATGCGGACGGCGCGGGGACGCGCTGCCAACTCCGACCACCCTCCCCGCACCCCCGGCTGCGGGAGAGCCGTGCGTCGGGGTGAGGAACTGACTTTGTGCCCAGGCAGGGCACTCTGCCTCTGCCAGCGCCAGGGGGAGGTCGCGGCCCGGCAGCCAGTGCGAGGAGCAGAGGAGAGAGGGCACAGCGGCTCAGTTTGCTCGGCGATGCCGGAGCCCGCCACGCGGAATGCACAAAGCCCCACGCCAGCGCACCAGGACGCCCCTCCTGTGGGAATGAAATGAGTGTTGTGCCAGCCCTCGTCCCTGCCCTCCCGCTGCCCCTGTAGCGGCCAGCGCCCCCGGAAGACCTTCTGGGGCAGGAAACAGCTCCAGGGGAATCCCTGCATTATGCAGACCCTGGAGGCGAGGCGTACCTGTACCTTCCACCCAGGTGGTTTAAACTCACCCTTGTTGATTAGCCCCATAAGCTGTGGTGAACTTTGCCCTACCCTGCAGACACCCACAAAACCCTCCCACTCACAGTGGCAAGCCCAGCTTTTATTGCACATCCTAGCAATAGCCAGCGTATGTAGTAGGGTGTACACAGTCATCCCCGCGTGCTATCTCCTGGATAGCTCCTAGGTTGGGCAGGCAATGGTGCGCTTTACTGATGCAGCCGGGGCCGTGCCGTGCTGGGTACTGTGGATGCAGCAGCCAAGGAAGTAAGAGCTCATGTGCTCATGCTGACATCCAGGTTCCAGTATGTCACCTGACATGCTCCAGCTCTGATGGTCAAGGACCACGAGTCCAAAGGCAGGGGTGTTGGTTTCTGTTCCCAGAAGGTCAGTGATGGCCTTCCCTAAACTCAGTTCCACCAGCCCGTTGGAAAGACCTGGTAAAAATTGTTTTGAACCAGAACAGAGGAAGCTATATAGGGTTCCACAAGCAGTGTGTACACCCAGCAGACATGGAGAATTGATATTCTTGGGGCTCCCAAGGTTTCAGGGAGAGAAAACCTGTTCTTCATGTATGTGTTGAAAGTTGTCACTTGAACAAATGCTCTCAGCCAGCCCAGCCCCCCCACCCCCCACACACACATAGAAAGTGGAAGGAAGGGTGCCCCGGTCTTTTCTCATGGGAGACTCCATGAGACAGCTCTCTACATGCTGCCCCCAGGAACTGGGTCCCTGGTTGCCTTGAGTGGACTTCTGTTTGCCTTGACGAACCTGTCACACACCCAGCCCAGGAGAAAGCAGTCACAAAGCGCACCCCTCTCGCTTCCCACAGCTCCTGAAAGTCTCTCCCTCCCTCCTTACCTCCTTCAGACTGCCGTTTAGCAACACAGCAGAACAGAGAAGGCCGCCTCTGCAGGACTGAGCAAGAATCCATAATGTCAGGGACAGATGGGTGCTCTTGACCGCATGTCTGAGCACCCTGAGGTCCCCTTTGGAGCCTTAGTAAATGCCAGGAGCGTGTGGGGGCACATGTATTTTAATTCCTAGCTTCCACTTACTTGGTGCTGATGGTTTCAGGGTTTCTAATCTTAAATATGTTTGGAGAGATAATTATTACTCTGCCAATATTACTGCAGGGAGACTGAGGCACAAAGAGGCCCCCTGCTGCACCAGGTCCCACAGGCCAGTTGCCAAGCCCAGGCTAGGAGGTGGGCCTGTGGAGCCACACCTGCCCTGCTGAGTCTGTCCTGGATGTACCAACCCACCCATTCCCACCAGAGCAGCCCAGGCTCTCCGCTGGGCCCTGGGGGAGGCTCAGGAAGCTGGGGCACTCAAGGGGAGGGGGTACCTGGACGAGGCTCCCCCCACTCCATACTAGACAGCAGGTTAGACCCTGAACTTAGAACCAGAACCATCTGTGTTCAGACAGAATGTGGTCCTGACTGCTGCCCCCACCCCTGTGGGGGTGAAGCATCCCCCAGGAGCCTGGGGGTCCAGGCTGAAGTCTGTTTGCCCTGAAGCTTAGGTAAGCCCTTTTCCAGGAATGTCCAAGGCCTCGGCAGGTCCCTTGTTTGCGGTTTGCTGATCTGCAAAGGCTCCCGATGAGATGGAGTTTGTGCTTCCCAGGGTCAGCCAGGACAGTGACCTCTGATCCCCTGGAAGCATGCCCTCAGGTCAGGTGGTAGAAGTCAACAGGGGCAGGGACACAGACTGAGAAAGGGAGAGTTCACTGTCAGCAAGTACAGAGCTGCCCCATGGCCAAGGGCTACACCCCGAGAGTGGCCTCTGCGTAGTGCTATCCTAATAATGATGGCAAAACCACACAAGACCAGGTAATGATGTCTTGTCATGTTAAAGCGTGGGACTCACCGTGGTCCCCCAGGCAGCAGGGTTCATCCACATGTTACAGCCAAGGAAGCCAAGGACAAAGGACAACATCAATTGGCTGAGGTCCCCAAGAGGGATCAAGAACCAGGCTCTCAGAGTCCAAACCCACTCTGCCACCTGCTCCAGCCGTGGGGTGCTCCCACAGGTCAACTGTCTGCTCTGGAAGCCCTTGCTTCCCTGGCCTGGGGTCCCGGCTGCCTCTGGCAGAGCCAGGAGTGTGGTGTCAAGGGTCGTCTTGGCCCCAGAGCTGGGGGCAGGGCAAGTGGCAAGTGGCAGCATGTAAGAAGCTTGTGGCAGGAGAAGGGGGCCATGTTCAGGGGGAGAGAGAGAGAGCACAGAAATGGTACCAGGTGGGCAAAGGTGGGCTGTGTCTTGCAGACTGGTGGGGAGTTTGGCTTGACTCCATCATATTAGTAACAAATAATAAATGACACCTGTTAACCAATTGTTATTTCCAAAGCAGAGATGATGGTGATGGACAAAACTATGCACACCCTTGAAGTCTGCAGGACCTGGAACCTCTGCAGGACCAGCAACTGCTGCAGTCATAGACATTCAACCCTTTAGATAAATAACCTGTCCCTGCCTGAGGTTGCAGACTGGCTATGCTACAGGCTCCTTCTCCACGTGGGTCTCTGTCGCTCCAGAGAAGCCCCAGGTGGCCCACCTGCAGTGGCACTGTCCTTGCTTCCTTCCCTCTTGGTCAGCACACAGTATTTCATCTCCAGAGATCTTAAGCTCCTTTGGCCAGGGGCTGGGTCACTGGTATCTTTTGCCCAGTTCAGAGCATGGCCTTGGTGCTTCAGGACCCGTGTGACCTGGTAGTTAAGAGTCTCACCGCAAAGCATGATGTGTAGATGCATTCGTCAATAAAGGACATTCCATTCCCCTGCAGATGGAGTTTGGAATTACCTGACCTGGGTAGACCATTATCCCAACCATGAACTGCCCTGCTGTGGATGGGCAAGGTCGGGGAACGCAGAGACATGGTGTGGTGGCCCACAAATGCGTAATAAATGCAAGTATATATTCACATCACTGCCTCTGCCTGGGACTCCCCCAATTTCCCTCGTGAAGTCAGTAGGTAGAACGCAGGATTTGAGGCAAACAGACTTGAATTCAAAACCTTGCTCTACCTTTCATTATACTACAGCCTTGGGACAAGTGACTTGACCTCCTGCCAGAACTTCCTCATCTATAAAATGGGGTGGGGATGCTCACCCCCCCCCCCCAGGTCCAGGGGTGAGAATTAGGAGGGAGTGTGTAAGAAGTACAAGCATGGACCTCATAGGTGGATCACACTTGAGATTTCATGACCACCTGCCTAAGGGCTTGCCCAGGGTCACCTCCTCCAGGAAGCCTGTTTGGCATCACACAGGGCTAGCAAAGCTGCCCTCTCTCCTGTGTTGCCACCTTTAGTCTAGTTTTTCTGTCTTTACAGTGCCCATTCCTCTGCCTGCCTCACCTCTCAAAATAGCTGACATTGATTGAGCCCTCAAACTTCTGACACCAGACTAGGTGCCTATTTGTTGGTCACTCATATGGTCCCCAGACTTATGCTGGTGTCTGCCTTTTACAGAAGAGTCCTGCCTGCCAGTTGGGACAGCGTGAACTTGAACGCAGGCAATCATCAGACCCCCACCCCTGGCTGTGAACTCCAGGAGAGAGCCCTGTGTGAGCAGCTTTTCCAGCCCAGGTGCCTAGCACAGGGTCCAGAACACATGGGACTCCAGAAACGTGCCAGGGAACGGCGAGAATGCCCTACCAGCATCTCCAGGCCTTGGCTTCACTGAAATGGGCAAGCAGACTGTGGGTCCCCCGTCCCTGGGCAGGGACAGGCCATGTTTGCCAACGTGCTCCTGGTCTGTGGCAAGATGGGGAAGAGACGCGAGGACATGGGGGGGAGAGTTTTCTGTAAAGCATTTTCTAGTCCATCTAAAGGGATCGCCATTCTCTCCGAGACTGTGTCCTCTACATTCTTTTGATGTTGAAAATGCCTTTTCTTAAT